GTTTTTTTAGGGGAGGGGGAGTGGGAGGGGGAGAGAAGACATGCCCTTACTTATTTTTTTCAAATGGTTTAAGAGTTAGTTTTTCGGAAGAATTAATTGGGTGGTGTCAATGAAAAAAGAAACCGTAACATGGTGACTAGGGTGTGGGGTGCTACCACCACAACCCCAACTCCTTTTTCAAAAGGCCTCAACTTTAAACAATCAAAGACACTTTCAAATTGTACTAGAAGATTCGGTTCTAAATATATTCCCCAATTATAAAATTCAAAGCTCTAAAAAAATAAAATCTTACATATCTATAAATACTTAAAATCATGAAAATTGACGGTACAAATAATATGTAAACGATGCAATACTTCTAGATCTTGATATCCCTATTTTTTCATATCTATACATCTCCAAGTTGAGGTAATGAGCTGCAGGGTTTTCCAACATTGGAACAACCTCTTTGGTTGGATTTTCAAAATACATCTTACATTTGTAGTGTAAGTTTAATGCCGTATATAAACTTTTCCATTTAGTGTACCCTTGACCCTTTAGCGGTATTTCATCCCATGTTAGGAAAAGTCTTACATGTGTCGAGGGACGCATTCTTACATTTGAGTCCCCTGAGGCATAAACCATCCATCCCAAGGATATAAACCATCCATCCCAAGGATAGATGAAAATGGCGGCCCCTACAAAAAAAAACTAATGATATAAATAGTTTTTAAATAAAATTATCAATTTTAATTGTTAAAATTTTTTTTTGTTACATATTAATAATCTCAATGTTAGGGATTATGTATTCCTTAAAAATTGGGGCCAAAGTCCATTTCAAAAATTAGGAAAGCACTCAATGGGGACTCATAAAAACGTGTCCCTCTTATAATTCAAAAGTGCTCATCACTCCTCTTGTTGACTGAAGGGTATGGGTAAGACATAGAAAAGACAAACTTTTTGCCTCCAAACAAATCACAAAAACTTTATTCAAGACAGATGATCACCCCATAATATATAAGTAATTAAAGGCAAGCCGGTACTAATATGGTTCATTGGTGGCAAGCAAAAGAGAGTTATGGTGGACCAAAGGACCACTGGGGCCCCTCCTTATATGTAGTTTGTCATTGCATCTTGGAATATTCTAATCAATCTTATTCCTACTTATTACCCTTTTCCACTTCTAGAGCGGTGACAGCTCCCAAGCCCCACCTGTTTGGTAGAAAACAAAAACCATACTTACCCTATTCTCTTCATTAAAAAAATAAAAAACTGAAGATAGATTGAAATAAGCATTTTATTGGGCTCTCTCCCTCTCTTATGAAGTTTCCCATAGTCCAAGGCAGTGTTCACAAACTCAATTGGTCCAACTCGGAACCGTTGGTCAAACTGGGAACTAGGTACTGGCCGATACAGTTTTGGTAGTATGGCTGGGTATTTAAACAAAATCAACTATATATGTATATATATATAACATTTCAAAAAATAAAGGATTTGTTTGTAATGTGGTTTTAAATAGTTTTATCATTTTGACAAATATTAGAAAGTGTTTTGGCCATTAATACTCATTTTTACATTTTTTTCTATTTTTCAATTTTTTTTAAAATACCCATGGAGCACAAATCAATTTTTTCACTACTTTTCAACTTCATTTGGATGAATTTTTAATCAAGCTTTAAATATATTTTTCATATGTTTTATATTTTAAAATTTTTTAACACTTTTTGTACCGGCCGGGAACTGTGCAATTAGGCCCTTTTACCGACAGTTTTTATGACCGGTTCGATTTTTATAACACTTATCTAAGACTTAGAATTAGGTGACTTGAATCAAGACTAGGAAGTGGATGATTCTAGATGCAAAATTTTTGGAATTGCTCAATTCTCTTGGTTTTCCAATATTTGTTTAACTATAACCCAGCTAAGAATGGGAATTGTTTCTATGAGATGGGGAGAATTAGAATTGGACCCTTGCCGAGTCGGCCCGGTTTCCGATTTTTTAGAAAACCGTATAAGGGTAGATACCACGAGATCCGCCCCAGTATGTTCCCTCCTCCTTCCCCTACAAAAAACGAGAGTAAAATTTTCCCTAAGGCTTCCACCCCACCGACGATCAGAGAGCCATAAAGAGAAACCTTTTTATGGGAGAGGAGGCAGAAAGAAAGGTTCCATATAGGGGTGGCAACGAGCCGGGCCTGACCCATAGCCAAGTCCTTGTTCTCATAGGATTGGCTCAAGGCCAGGTTGGGATAAACATAATCAAACAAAAATCAAAGTAAAAAAGACAGAAAAAGAAGGCCGGGTCGAGCAGGCGATAGTCAAACCCAACCTCCAGCCATGGTTGTCGGGCGCTGCCCAGCCCTACTTTTTAAGAGCTGGGCCACCCGGCCCATTGTCACCCCTAGTGCCATAGGGGCCGTTGTCGTATTCACCGAACATAAGGAAAGCAAAAGCAAATTCCCTGATTTTTTTTTGATGCCGTAGTTTCTGGGGTATAAATTGTTTTTTTTTTTTTTTTTTTTTTTTGGTTCTTTACTTTGTTTTTTTGCTTGATAGCTGATACACATAGTCTGTGTCACATGGGTGGGGTCTCATGCACCATTACCCATGTTTCCCATCATTTTTTCGGCGTTACTTCACCATTATTTCGGGGCGATTTCGTTGGACATGCGTGGCTATAACGTAAACACGTGTGTGTCATAACGTTAACACGTGTGACAAACAAAGGCATGGGCCAGGAATGTCTCCTACCAACAAGACTCAAACTCAAAGTACGATTTTAGCATATTTTCTTTTCTTTATTTCCTTCTCCTCTTTTTCAACTTCAACCTCTTCTTTATATTTCTCCTCTTTTTCAACTTATTCTTTTTATCATTTAGGGTGGGGTTTTTATAGGGCTGAAGCTCTAAACAATCTAAGTAGGGCACACTTACAAATATTGCTGAAATATATTGTTTCAGTATCAAAAATCTTTGTGGTGGCTTTAAAATTTATTTTCATCTCCAATTCTGAAATTGAAAGATACAGAAATAGTGTAAATCGAGCATATCTTTGAACACTTGAAAATCTTAAAAATTGACGGTCCAAATAATACATTACAAGATGCACTATTTCTAAAACTTGAAATCTATTTTTGCTCATGTCCACGCATCTTGAGGTGGATATGATCAAATTGAGGAGGTTTTTTTAGCATCGAGACGTCATTTTCTGCTAAATTTTTAAGGTAACCCTTAATTTGATTGTTTAGGGCATCTATCTTCCCTCTTTCTCAACTTTTTTTTTCTTATAATATTTTGCTCTCTTCCCTTTTGGTTTCTTTTTCAAAGTTTTTCTCAGCATACAATCTATTTATCTCCTCGGGTAGAAACAAATCTAGGAGTATTTTCAGGACCTCAAATTTTGTGGATGTAACCTCTTTACCCATATATTGAACTCAAGAAAAGAAGTTTCCGAGTCACATCCTCGGCATGCTTAAAAAAAACGCCTCAAGATTGAATTGAACATGTCTAATTTTTGAACGGTGAGATCTACTCAAAGGTTTTTCTCTTTTGAACATAATTGTCTAATATTTTTTGGAGGAGAAAATTTTCTATACCTTCCTTCCATATACATCTCATATACTTTGCCTCTTATTCAACTGTCCAATTTGCAGCTAAGGTTACTTGTCTCAAAATGTCGCAAATAAGCCGCATGATCTAGATTTGATGTTTTATAATATTTTATTTTACATTGTTTTATATAAATAATATGAATATGAAATTTGGTACGCGTCATCATCTCGATAGGACGTACCTAAGAAAAATATTAAAAATATTAAAAATATTTTTAAAAAATAAAATAACTAAAATACCTATAAAGCTTTCAGGGGCATATTGATCATTTTATTTTATCAGGAGTAGCAAGTGCAAGTTTAAAAGAGGAGTGGACGCTCCATATTTGGCGTCCAAATGTTTTGTAAAAAAAATCAAAATAAAAGTACATAAGCATGATATTGTGATTGGACCGTCCATTCAAATTCGACAGCTAAGAGATGAGAAAGGTATCTAAGATGTATATGGTGGGGAACTGTAGAAAGTTTTCTATTGTTTAGGTGGTTGTCAAAATTTCTGATCAAGAAAATCCTCCCGAGCAAGTCTTCTACAGTAGGTGTACAATATGCTCCGCGGGATTAATGCATATGCTCACGTAGAATTAATAGGTTTTTCTTCTCTATTTTTCACAAAGGTAGAACTTGAGTCGTAGTGCTACGAAAACCCAGCTGGTACCACGAAAACACAGCTGGTACCGCCTTGACCCAAGCCCGATATCTAATTAATAGATTCGTCTCCTTTTTTTTTTATAATATTTTGTTCTCTCTCTCCAACTTTCACGAGTTGTCTTGTCTCCCCTTATTTACACCATGGTGCTGCAAGTGCTCCGGAGAGAGTGGGAGAGGAATTTAACCAAGTTTAGAGAGAGAAGAATAAAGCAAGGAGTGCAAGAAGGTTGAGGGCCCATGCGGGTCCACGCTTTAGGATCATATACCATGCTGCATTAGTTAATCATAACTGGAATGCAAGGGTGGTCCGTATAGTATTAGAATATACGATACCATCCACAAACCTCCATCTCTCCCCTCCCTTATCCCTGCAAACCCTGCCGACAGTTTCTCTCACTAGATTTACTAGAGAAATGAGGAGAGAGAGAGAGAGGACATAACCAACACATGCATCTGAGACATGAAGGACACCAACCCACCACATACACACGAGAGAGAGAGAGAGAGAGAGAGAGAAGACTTTAACATGGTCAACAAACAAAAGCAGTGAACACAACATGGTCAACAAACAAAACCAGTGAGCACACACACAACATGGTAAACAAACAAAACCAGTGAACACACACCGTACAAAGAGCAAAGTTTTTAGTTTGAAGTACAATCGAATTCAGTTTGTTCAGTTAACAAAGAGCGAGCAAAAGAAGATAGAAACATAAACAACAAAAACAAACCAATACACAAACAGAGAGAGAGGGATCAGAACCTATAGTTTTAAAATCAACTGAATTCAATTCACATATACAATCTTTTACACCTCAGTATGACCTGTCGGGAGGGACCCTGGCCTCCCAACCATTGAATTGCGCAATAAAAACCCATCTCTTTACTCTCATCAACAACACTTTCTGATACATATGGGTTCAATCTGAACACCAATAAGATGGCACACCCAAGCAAGAATTAAAGACTGATTCTATCCACACCTATCATGAATTCAGATAAGAATGCTTATATATAACAAAGACCGAAAGGGCTCAAGGCCCAATCTACATTGCTCAAAGGAGCAACATAGACAAATGAAGTGGGTATTCTGAGAAAATTACTTCGCTCTTCTTCCAACCCAACAAATTTATTTGGGTACTTTCAGAGAGAAAATCAAAAGCTTCAAGACATGGGGTGACAGTTAAAAACCTATTTTTCTCAGCTCATCTGCTCCCCAATAAGGTCCAGACCCACAAGGAGGAAAGTCACACCTTGGAATAGCAAAAAGTAGAAATGGACACCTTGAGCTGATAAAAGGCTCCTTGCTGAGGCAGTGAGGAGTAAGAAAGCCAAAGCTAACTCCTTCCTATAGAGCTTATTGAGCTTCTTCTTGACTGGTGGGTTTTGTTTTTGTTCATTCAACTTGTTCAATTCTGTAAGCTCACTTTCTGATGACCCTCTATGAATTTGAGAATGGTTCAATCCCTTGCTTTCTCTCTCTACAACTGCTAAAAGATCAGACTCTGATGACCTTCCTGCCTTCTTGGTCACAACCCATTCATAGGAGCTTCCCAATTGGAAAAGACCAGAGATCATGGCATTGAATTTTGTAACTGACATTGTGTTTTCAAAGAGAAGGTAAGGGACAATGAAAGGGAAGGATCTTGGAGCTGGTAATATGTTAAGAAATGACATCAAAACAGGGACATAGCATATGACCCAGACTGGGAGCTCGGCCTCAGGGACAAACATGGTGAGGGGAAGAATTACACAAAACAATGTGAAGGAATAAAAAGGAAGAATCAGCTTCCTCAGAAGGAAAAACAGCATGATTAAATTTGCTTTCTTCCAAACTGATATCTGCAAAAATAAAATGGGTCATCAGATATAAATCTAAACAAAAGGCATTGAGTGGATTGAAGTTTGTTCCAATTGTCAATGCTCCAAAGGAAAAGAAAAGTGAGAGAGACGGAGACAGAACCTTGGAAGTTATTATAGACGGGACACACAGGCGAAAAAGGTGCATTGGACCAGAGTGCCATCGGTGCTGTTGCTTTCGATAAGCTTCGTAGGACTCGGGGACTTCACAGAGGACCTGAAAACCAGTTTCAGAGTTTCAGTGTTGTTTTTCACTTCTCTTGAATCTTTAGTAACAAACAAAGAATTAGAGAGATAATGAGAACCATCAACAATCAAATGGACCAAATGAGAAATTATGACTAAGAAATCAAGGAAAAAAAAGCAAGTACCTTGACATCATTAAGGAAGATGAATTTCCATCCATTGAGATGAGCACGAACAGCTATATCCATATCTTCGACAGTTGTTCTTTCAAGCCAGCCTCCAGAGTCCTCAAGAGCTTTGATTCTCCAGACACCGGCTGTCCCATTAAAACCAAAGAAATTCAGGAAAACACCATTAACCTGTTGCTCCACCTCAAAATGGAAGCACAGGTTGATGTTTTGGAGGCGTGTAAGCAAGTTTTCATCCTTGTTCACAAAAGCCCAACGAGCCTGAACCAACCCAAGTTCAGGATTGTTCTGTAGATACACAAGATTGAACATAATCAGAGAGAGAGACGAGTAGATTTCGTACAGTTGAGAACATTGAGTGAGAGAGAGAGAGTGAGGGAGTGATGGGCATAATTTGATCCTGTAAAGGCTTTATGTACTTCTAACTTGGTTGAAAGAGAGACCAATTGAGGCAATTATATCACGTAAACTCTGAATGTAACATGGGTTTTACCTTGAAATGTGGAATTGTTTGCTTTAGGAAATCAGGGTATGGCTGGAAATCTGCATCGAAAATGGCAACAAATTCATAGCCTTTGACATTGTCACAACTCATTGCTGATTTGAGATTACCAGCTTTATACCCCGTTCTAACCAAGCGATGTCGGTAAACGATGTTAATTCCCTTTTGGCTCCACTTTGAAACTTCGGCTCTGATTAATCCAATAATGCTTTCTTCATTGGAGTCATCAAGCACTTGAATTAAAACCCGGTCTTTAGGCCAATCAAGTTGGCAGGCAGCCGATATAGACTGCTCAAAAACCTGATGCCAAGAAAAATCATAACTCAATTATTTAGAGCTCAATTATTTAGAACAAGTAAAACAAATTCATGGGAGATCCTTTCTGACCCAATCTGCCGACCAAACCCCACCTATTTCGAAAGCAGAAACAAAAAAAGAAAAAAAAAGGAATTTCCATAGAAACTAACGAATTGGAGTTAAGGAGTATATGCTTCAAATAGATAATTTAAACTTGAACAGGCACATTTTGTAACAGAGGAAAGGGAATGTGGGAGTTGCAAACTCATTGATGTTTTCTCACTGGTTAGAGAAGAAAAGGATGGATCTCTTACTATTACCTTTCCATACTCGAGCAATACTGCTGTTTCACTTTTTTTATATAATAATTGAAGCAAAAGAGTAGCTAATAAGACTCTCTATCCATTAACTGCACAAAAACGGATTTCTGTACAGCTAACAAATACGTATCAGATCTAAAAGCATTAGAGCAGCTAAACCAGTACTAGCAGTAAGGCCCCATAAAATCAGTAAGACCCATTATTCTTTATAACACTAACGAACCGTATTAAAAATCATAGAGAAAAGAGAAATTAGATTACTACCTCCATCTCATTGCACATAGGAATCTGAACCAGAACCATAGGATACTCTGAACCAGGTTGCTCTGAATCTTCCAATTTGAAGGGTTCACCCTCAAAGGTAGGCTTGATCTTCTTATACTTGATCCAGAAGCACCCGATACACAAAATTACTCGATCAACTGATTGGATTAGGAAAAGAATGACACAGAAGTTTGAAAGAGCTTGAATTGGGGGAGCAATGTAGTCGGCCCTGAAATCCAACCATGACAGATAAACCCAATGGAGAAGACCCTCGATCTCGGAGGGTCGAGGCACATGCAAATTGGGTCTCTGAAAATGCCAGCCATTAAGATGGGCAACCACCTCAAAAACCAGAATTGTCAATGCCATTACAAGAAAACCTCTGATAAATCGTAAGAGACGACCTTTGTGTGGTTTTTGAGGCTCCACGGCTACTCCTTGCCTGAAAATTAACCTCTTTTTGGCCACCCCAAGAAGAGCCCAAAGAGCAGTAGCCATCCAAGCTACACAGCCCACTGCTCTGTGAGCTTTAAGCAACAAAACCCAAGTGAATTGCTTCGCGTTCCTCCCTCTATCTTTATCAGCTTGTGGAAATCTCTCGTCTGGGTCGTCAATTTCCAGTACTGAAAAATTGGGGTTCTCCATTTTCACCACCACTGGTGTTCCCTTCCGAGCCTCTCGAGACCACCACTCCGAAAAATCTAAACTTGGGGCCATTTTCTCTCACTGGAATACGCAGAGCACAACTCAAGGGACAAACCCAGTTCAAAAAACCAGAACCCAGGAGCTTACAGCCCCATAGATGGCAGAAATCACAGAGAGAACCCCACAATTAATGAACCCATCTCTTCAAAAACACAAAAGAGCTCACCCCAATTTGAAAAACCACTTTCTCTCTCCAAGACTCCAATGCAGGTAAGAGAAAAGGAGAAGCTTGGCCCTCCCTTACAATGTGTTTAGAGAGAGAAAGATAAGGAAAACAGCATTATGGGGAAAGGCATCTGTAGTTGTAAAGCCCTAAACCATGTGGGTTTCAAGATCCAAACAATTCCAATTGACTTCTTACCGCAAGGGTTTATTCTTTTACCATCGTATACATTCTCAGAAGAAAAAAAAAAGAAAAAGAAAACACCAGCTAAGCAATAGAAAACCCTAGAAAAAGAGAGAGAAACGCAGAGAGGCAAGGCACAAGAAATGAGAGAGATGCTACTTTATCAATGTGAGTGAGGCCCTTAAAGCTTAACCAGTACAATGGCATTAAAGTAGTGAACTAGAACAAGATATGGCCCAAATAAAGAGTAACGTAGAGAGAGAAACACCATAACTATGATAGAGAGAGAGCTATATGTATAGTTAAAGACTGTTAAAGGGAGTAAAGAAGAGAGGGATTATGGAGCTTAAGATGGAGATTAAAATAAAGAAAAAATGTGGGTGGGTATTGCAAATGAAGACTAAAGAGAGAAAGGAACAGAGAGAAACGGGGTCGCAAATCCAGAGAGAGAGGTTAATATTTAAAAAAGGGAATAGTTAAAGGACCCATAGTCAAAACTTAAGAGAGAGAGAGAGAGAGAGGAGTTTAATTATTGAACAATGGTGGGTGTTGTAGAGAGAGAAAGGAACATTGAGGAATGGGGCTGCAAATCCAAGAGACAACTGTTAGCTAAAAGAGAACCAATAGAGGATACATAGAGAGAATGGAGTTTAATATCGAACGAAAAAAATGAAGGTCGGAGTTGTATAGAGAAGGAAACAATATTGAGAGATGAAAAGGATAGTTAAAAAACGGGTAGAGAGAGACAGAGAGAGAGAGAAGAGTGTAACATAGAAAAATGGTGGGTATTTTAGAGTGAGAGAGAGTGAGAAAAGGAGCTGCAAATCCCTACTTACCTCGATTTTCTCCAATTCCGAGCTCCAATGGCGGACGTTCCGTTTTCTAGTCCCCTTCATATACTGCAAAAATTTTACCCAAAATACATAAAAAAAAATATAAACTGCACAGTCTGGAACCACCATTACAGTACAGTAAAGAAATAAATTTAAAAAGAAATAATAGCCCTTTTTAAAGTCCTCGAACCTTTTTAATTAATTATAATGGACTTTTTTGCTTTAAATTAATTACGAGTGGACTTTTAATTCATTTTTTTTACTTTACAAATATTAATTTTTGAATATTTTCTCACTCATGATGCCGATGTCGTTGCATATGATGTATGCATGTCATGCGCACATGCATGCGTCTTTAAAACCGTACGTTTTTTTGCACCTGAGTAATTATTTGTTTGCACTTTTTAATCTTTGATAATGGTCAGTGCAGGAGGGGCCCGCCTGTGTCGGTTCTAGAGATCAACGGTCTGGATCTTCCCAGGAATCGTTGGGTATCACTAGCGAGTAACTATTTGGGGATTTCTGCCGAAAAATTGCCCACATGGTGCTTGTTCCGTACAACTTAGTTAATGTGTAAAGCGTGTCCATGACTTGTTCTTGTGTGTCCGGCTACCGAATAGGGTGTCTGGTGTCATAGCCATAATCGTTTGAATTAGTTGAACTAATTTTTAGAAATACAAAGAAAAGAAAAACGATTATATGTTATAAGATTGGTTTAATAAGAGTGAGTACATTAAAATTTCCCTTAATCCGTCTTATGCCCGGATAATGGGCCTAGGTAGACAGCCAATGTAAAATTTTATCAAAACTTATCATGAATCTTAAACCTACAGTTCAAGCCGACCCGAACTAATTGGGAAAAGGTTTTGACCAAAATGATGATGCTACAAGATCATTTACTTTTGGCACATAAATGAATCCGTTGAACTAAATTTTAGAAATATAAAAAAAAAAGATTATATAGTGATAGATCATTTACTTTTGGTATATAAAGGTCACAATTACCTATAGCCCTTAGATGTTAAATCTAGAAACTTGGGTTGTGTCGCAATGCTTAAAAAAAATTATTTGGCTTTGAGCCTACTCAATAGAACATCCCTAACAACCTAATTTAACATCCAATGACCATAGTTCATTGTGACCTCCTTGCATTAACGATAAATGGTCATATAGTTTATAAGTATGAAATATATTACAAAAAGAAGGTTCATCTCTATTTGAACAGTCTAACCAAAACTGGCTGGTCGGACTATCTTAAATCAATCACTTATTTTAACCGATTTTCCACCAAACATAGTTTTTCTGTTTGACCAAACCAGCCAAGTCATTGATCAACTGTCCATTGGATTAAGTGCACGGTCTGATCTAATCTTGATAAATATACACATATGTACGGATATGATTGGATTAAGTGCACGGTCTGATCTAGTCTTGATAAATATACACATATGTACGGATATGATGCTTGTGCCCAAAATTTTAGAAAAACAAAACCTTAAGCATATCTTATGCAAATCTTTTTTTCAAGAATCCTTACTAAAATATCGTTATATAAATATATGATGGCACCTAAAATCCAATTAGAGGAAATCTTTCGATTTAGAAAACTATTTCATAGCAAGGAAATTTATTCAAAATACTCATAAAAGATGAACTATTTAACATTTCATATGTATCTTTTGATTTAATTTCAAAGTGCCCATAGAAAGAGTCACATGATTATGAGTTGGATTAGTAGCTTATGATAGAAATAATGAATAGTTTATCTCTTATCAGTATTTTAGTAAATTTCCCTTCATAGGATTTCACCAAAGATTTTAATATCTACATTTCTACACTGCATCCTTTTTGTCGCTTCTCACCAGTCTAGTATCTTGCACCTCCAAACTTTGCTGGAAGATGCAGTTATGGTGCCAAAAACACTTATTAGCTTGAAAATTTATTTCTGCCCTTAATTATAAAATTTAAAGGTCCAAACATGTTGCAAATCTATGAACACTTGAAAATCTTGAAAAATGAGAAACCTAGATAACGTCTTACAAGATGTACTACTTTTAGGACTTCAAAACTTTTCTTTTCATGTCTATACATCTCGAGGTCGAAATAATCAATTGAAAGGCTTTTAAGCATCATAACAATCTTTTTTGGTGGGTTTCATAGGTTCATCTTAATTTTATAATAAAACATTGACGCCTGATATAAACTTTTCCCTTAATTGACTATGGGCACAGCGTGCCTAATGTGGAGATTGATCACTTAGAAAAGAAAAACGGTTATTGTAATGCTGCAACTTTTTAAAGCCATTGTTCAAAAATCCCTAAAATTGTAGTTCCAGTGTTAGAAAATCACTTATTGGTCATCTCAACCTCGAAGATGAATAGAAAAGAATTTCAAACCCTAAAAATAGTGCATTTTGTCTCATATTGGTCATCTCAACCTTGATGATGTTCATATAGAAAAAAAGTGAATTTCAAAACTCAAAAATAGTATATCATGTAAAAAAGCATTTTAAACACATACTTTAGATGCAACTTAAATCTATTTATCATGATACCGCAGCCTCACATTAACCTCACCCTAAAGAAAATTTATCCATTTTTTTTAGTGCGAAAAGACCTAATCATTGGATCCAATTCGAAGTGCATGATACCTCCATAATTTATATGGTTTTATTGGTTGGTGACCTTTCCCTATTTTTGGATAACTGTCGGCAATTTTTCTACAAGAAAATTTCCCAAATTTACAGTGCTACAAGAAATGAAACTAGCAAAAATTTTCAGAAAAGGACTTTGTCAAACAAAAAAAGACAAAAGATTTTTGGAAATGGTATATAGCCTTCTTTCCAAAAATTTTGTTTCATATATTAGGTCGACAAAAGATATGGAGCTCTTCAAAATTTGAAAAGAAAAAGACAAATGTCCCCTATATCGTCTTTTCTGTTCTAAACATTCCTATTTATTTTTTATTTAATCCCGCTATTCCAAAACCTAAAAGTGAGTGGGATTGAGACCATTTATCTTTGGATCCGGTTTCTATACGGCCAAGCCCGCATATGTAGAAATGTAGGGCTATTAATAAATTTATTTTTGAGATGGATTTTTTTATTTAATTTTTAAGGACATGTAATCTCTAACATGGAGATCATGAATATGAAAAAATAAATAAATTTTAAAAACAAGAAGAAAATAATTCTAGTAAGAAAACATTTAGACCGTTGGTTCCATTTGTTTTTAGATAGAACACCTACTTGCTTCCATCTTTAAGATGGATGTTTTACGCTTTTTGGACCGCATATGTAGTCATGCAGTCCAGCCCGCATGAAACAATTTTCGTTTATCTTTTGTATATGGTGGTCACAATATTTCTAACTATTTAGATGTCGAATTGGATGGCTTGGGGTAAGTCACAAAGTTCAAGATTTTTTTTTATTTTTTGAAGTGTAAATCTATTCAATGACACTCTTACAACCACTCATTTTAAAATTAAAGGACAAAAACGATTGTAATTTCATTATACAAAAAGTAAATAGTCTCTTTGTAGACATATGAGTTTTAGGACTCATAAAAACTATGACTAGAAAAAAAATTGCTTAGAGGGGGCATACCATGTCTTCTTTTAATATTTTTAGAAAAACATCAATAGAAGGGCGAGACCCTAAACAATCAAGTTAAGGTGCATCTCAAAATTCATTAGAAGAGATTGTTTCGATGCTCAAAAATCCTCAAATCAATCATCTGGACCCCAAAAATTGATTTGTAAGTCTTTAGAAATAATCCATCTTATAATGCATTTTCTAGACCATCAATTTTCAATATCTTAAGTGTTCATAGATTTGCAGGATCTACACTATTTTTGAAGTTTTAAATGTTATAATTAGATATAAAAATAAATTTTCATCCATCACAAAGATTTTCAGGAATCAAACATCTTTAAATACTATTTGAAGGTGCGCCTTAGTTTGATTGTTTAAGGCCTAAGCCTTAACAAAACCACACCCTTTTTCTTATCAAATCCCATAAATGCAGAACAGGAAACATAAATTGAAGCTTTAGCTTCATGCGAAGTCCATAGATTTTTTAAACTAACGAAATGTCAAATCAACCATGAAGAAAGTTGAAGATACTGCCACGTCAATAGATCTTTTAAACGAACGGTTCGGATCAAAAGCCCAGCACTTTCTCTTTGCAACACGCGTCGCACGAGGCCACTTACCTGCCGTGTTTTAACCGAGTCAACGAGTCACCGACAGCGCGATTCTCGACTTCTTCCACGATGAATCGTACATGGTATGCATCGCCATCTATGACTGCCATGCTGACATGGCGGCGGCTCACATCAAAACCATTAAACCATGCTGGTTAGATAAAACCGTTTTTCACTCGAACAACCAAATATTTTTTAGCCAGTATACTGTGCTACCGAGGGAGCATAGCGTATATCTACTACCTCGGTTGGAAGATATATTGAAGATGATTTTTAAATCTACAATCTTGGGAATCACTAGATGACTATTTAAAAAGAAAATATTGAATCTAAAATCTTGCAATCACTAGATGATTATTTTAAAAAATATATATTTAAAAACAAAATTTTTGAAATTTTTTCAAGTAAATAGAGGGTGCGAGTGCAAAAAATTAATTATTTAGGTTGATATGTGGGTCGTAGAGGTAGGGCTAGCACTGGCCAAGCCAGCCTTTGCCCTAGCTCCAATAAAGCAGGCCCAAGCATGGCTCAACCCTGACGGGCCAAAGAGGCCCTAGCCCTAACAGAGTAGAGCCAAATAGAAAATTGTGTAAAAAGAAAAAACAACTAAAAAGAGAGCCAAGCCTAGCTCAAACCCATCCCAATCCCTCAAGCCTTGGTTGCCTGCCTTTGGCCACCTTTTCTGGGCCAAGCCCTTGTCTTTTAGGGCTGGGAAGACCGGATTGCTGCTCGTAGGTAGAAGTTATACACCTAAAATTTGGGGTCATGAAACTAATCTCAAATAGAGTTTTATAATGAAGTAAATAAAAGAGGAAAACATGTTTAGGTTAACTTACTAGCTCATATCTATATATAAGTCCAAAGGATCAGATGGGCTGATCTGACGGTCACGATTTCTATAAATTTTAATTTTTTTCAA